TTGATCAAACCTCATTTACACTAAAAGGTTACCTTTTAATTATAGTATGCATTTTAACTTAGTAGAAAAACGTGTTTTGCACGGTCCACCCTATTAAACTAATATATTAGAAAACTCTCAAAAAAAAAAAAAATCCATGGGTGAAAACTTTTCTTGAAGGGTATTAATGTAAATTGCCTGCTAATTTGGAGATGTATAGTGGCAATAATATAAGGGAAAATATTACTTTTACCCCTTCAATTATGGTCCCGATCTTACTTTATCCCATAAACTATTTAAATTCTTATATTATTTCTTCAATTAACTGAATTGGTTTATTACCATCCTAAATGCAAAGTTCATCATCCTTTGGATGAAAAATTCCCACTTATCGGGACAAAATAAAAGAAAATCACATCATTCCAGAAGGCAAGTAAGAATTCTAATGAAACTCTAATTGTGGGCACAGTGCAAAACGAGTAACTACAATTGAAAATACAATATAAGAAAAATAATAATTGGGTGTAAAGTGAGAAAATGGTCATAGTTGAATGCCGAATTTTAAGGTATATCCAAGACTTTGAATACATAATTTTTTCAAGGGTACCCTGCACTAGAACAAGCCGATTTTGACTAGTGAAAGTCGGGCCTTAAAATAATCTCCAAGTGCATACCATAGCTTAGATCTCGGACTTGAATCTGCATATATAAATGAATACCAGCAAAGAAAGGCAAGGACACCACAACCCACCACCCCACAAATCATCTTCCCAATTACTATCTAGGAGCCATGGTGTCTCACCCCCATCAGCCTCACTTTGTCTTGCTTCCTCTAATGGCCCCAGGCCATATGATCCCCTTAATAGACACTGCCAGACTGTTGGCACAGCACGGCGTTATCGTCACCATAATCACCACGCCTCTCAATGCCATTCGCATCAAACCAAGCATAGCTCCGGCCATAGAAGCTGGACTCGATATCCGACTAATCGAGCTATATTTTCCCTGCGTCGAAGCAGGTTTGCCAGAAGGGTGCGAGAATTTGGACAAGCTTCCTTCAGTAGAAGCTGGTATAAATTTTTTTGCAGCCATTGGCATGCTTCAAAGACCTGTGGAACAACTGTTTGATGAACTTAAACCCAAGCCAAATTGCATACTTTCTGATATATGTCTGCCGTGGACCATGTATGTTGCTGAGAAGTTTCATATTCCAAGGCTTGTTTTCTGTGGAACTGGTTGCTTACCCCTCTTCTGCACATACCAAATCCTGAAGTCCAAGATTTTAGATAACATAGCCTCTGATTCTGAGTACTTTGTGGTGCCGGGAATCCCGGATCGAATCGAGTTAACCAAGGTCCAGCTACCAATTACTGCTAATCCAATCACAGCAGGCTTGAAAGAGCTCAGCGACGAAATCGCGAAAGCCGAGAAAGCAGCATATGGTATAGTGGTCAATAGTTTTGAGGAGATGGAGTCTGAGTATGTGAAAGAATACCAGAAGGCATTAGGTAACAAAGTTTGGTGTATTGGACCTGTTTCACAATGCAACAAAGAGGATCTTGACAATGCTGAGAGAGGTAAGAAGGCTGCAATTGATGATCACCAGTGCTTGAAATGGCTAGACTCTCAGGAGCCAAGTTCTGTAGTCTATGCTTGCTTTGGAAGCCTATATTATCTTCCAACAGCACAATTAATAGAGCTCGGATTTGGTCTCGAAACCTCAAACCGACCCTTCATTTGGGTCATTGGCTATTTGTCAGATGAATTGGACAAATGGTTTACAGAAGGAGGATTTTTGGAAAGGATCAAAGGGAGAGGCCTTATAATTCGCGGTTGGGCTCCACAAGTACTGATACTTTCACACCCTGCAGTTGGGGGGTTCTTAACACATTGTGGATGGGGCTCATTTCTTGAAGCTGTATCTGCTGGTGTGCCGATGGTAACATGGCCTATGTACGCGGAACATTTTTATAATGAGAAGTTAGTTCTTCAAGTACTGAAAATCGGAGTGAGTGTGGGTGTGGAGTTTCCTGTTATGCTCGGAGAGGCTGCAAATGTCGGGTTGTTGGTGAAGAAGGATGCCATTCAGGTGGCTGTGAACAGGTTGATGGATGAGGGAGAGGAAAGGGAAGAGATAAGAAAAAGAGCTAGAGAATTTGCAGGGAAGGCAAAGAGAGCAACAGAAGAGGGGGGTTCTTCGGAGGTTAACATGAAACTGCTAATCCAAGATGTCATGGAGCAAACAAGTTTTGGGCAATCAGCTTGAAAGTGGGGTTGATTTTGAAGTTTAATTTCTAGAAATTAGTATGTTAAAGATTATATGTTGTTTGGTTGTTACATATAAAAATTTCATTATAGAGCTTTTTTTGTGCCCACAACATAGGATTTACCAATTCAGTTTGTACTTTTATGTGGAATTAGTTGTTGCATATGAGACATTTTGAATTATAATTTTATTTTTATATTTTTATTTTTGCTGAAATTATATAACTACTATGTTATCAAATATATGCTTATGATTCAAGATATAAAATTACAATCTAACTTTTAACTAATGTTCAAAAATATCAAACATAACCTTTAGAATGTAATAAAATGAAGCTACTAATAACATATATAAGTTTTGATATGTATCAAAATAGAAAATCTCAATGAGAGTGTCCTCATCTCTTGCACGGGTAAAAATGACACAAATCCTTTAAGATTTCACATGGAAACTACAAAAAACATATATTCACGCATCTGTATATTCACTCAAGTCAGCTTCAAGACACTCCAATCTAAGTATATTGGAGTAAAGGAAAATCCTTTTTAAGGATGTGAGTTATAGATATGGTGATCCTGACACCTATACCAAAAAAAAAGAAAGAGAATATATATATACTACTATAAAAAAATAATCACTCAACTAGGTCGTAGATGAGAAAGGTAAAAAGTTAAAACAACCAATGATGATTCTTTTTCCCTTGATTACTTTCATCTTCCTTTGGGAGTTTGGTTATTGAATTGATACAAAATGAGAATAGATAAAGAGAGACACTTGTGGAAGAAAAAACAAAAAGTCGCCGATTGTTAGTTTTAAAAGTGAATATGTGGAAAAAAATTGATATTGTAATAATTCATTATGATATTAAATTCTTAGTAACCCAATAGTCATTTATCCAAAACTTAAATAGTAGCCAATGATAAAATAATTGTGACAATTATTATGATATAATAATTTTATCAATTACAAAAAGGTAGGAAAGAAATTAGTTAGCTTGTTAAGGTTATTTTTATCTAACAAATATTTTTCACTTTTGTTGACATTTAAAAGTAGCATAAATACAAACAGATAGAAATATATTTACTCCAATGGCATGTTAGTGCTTTCTTTTTGCAATTGTCAATGATTTGCATACATTTTCTTGTAAAATTGCTTTCAATTGCCCCCACAATTGGTCTCTATATAAAATAAAAACCTATCACCTTGTTTTATCCTTTCAAAAAAGTTGCCAAGAACTTACTATTAAAGTGCCCACATAGGACTTAATTCCAGGCTCCGCCCCAATGTGTTGTTGGGTCTTAGGTTAGGTGTGTTGTTATCTTTTGTACTTGGGGAGAATAGTTTGATTTTCAAAGAAAGTTCAAACGATCTGAGTGTCATAAAACCTCAATTAGAAGTTTTTCCCCATTGATGGGGGGTGAATGACATTCACTCTACCATACTTTTCTTTTTAATTTTCCTCGATTTTAGATCATCTAACACGAATTAGAGGACCAACTAAATATAAATGGATCCCCCACCTATATTTATATATGTCAAGTAATAAAGTCTCAGTATACAGAATTCCAATAGTTATAGCCATGGTAATACTATTGAATTCTTTTTATTGGCAAATCATTAGATCCGAATAGTTTTAGTCATGTCAATATACACATATGGAGTAATTAGGCATTTTTCTGACTAGTCATCAGTCCAAGATTGTCAATTTGTTTGATTTGTGCTGTATTGTTCATTTTCGATGGCTATTAAAAGAAAACACTGCGTGCAAGACCAGCACTCTTTTCTAATGAATTCCGACGAGATAATCGCATTCGAAATGACAATTCAGACTACAGTATCTATTGACACGCCCAAAATTATGATAAAATAAGTTTGTAGTTACAAACTTAATATAGTAAAATTAAGGGCGGAGTCAGAATTTTTGTTTATCTCGGGCTAAGGTAAGCATTCATACGACTAACAAAATATAAATGTTTTATATATATTATGTGGCCCAAAAATTTTGTTTTTGTTTTTTTGTTTTTAATGTTGGGCCAAAAATTTTATTTTTTTAATGTTGGGTCAAAAGTTTTTGTAATAAGTTTGGGTAGACTTTAATAAATTTGAGTAGATAATATTTGACTCAAATTTTTTTGTTTTAAATGAGTTAAATTTTTTAATTTTTTTGGGTAAATAATGTGGGTCTAGTATAAATGAGGGGCACACATAATATATTATATAAATATATAATACATATACTCTACTAATAATTTTTTTTTTTAGGGGGGGCACTTGTCCACCCTGACCTAGCTGTCCCTCCACCCCTGCGTAATCCCCTCTCTGTTCTGATCAAAATAGAAATAAAAAACCTTGAAATTTTTTTTTTTTTCATGATTATTGGGGCTCAAGTCTTAAGGGTTTTGAGAAATTGGGTTAATGATTAGTAATTTATTGGGCTAGTATTGATAGTCTTATATGAAAGTGATAATTTTATTTTTTTTTTAATTTTGGGCTTCAACCCACTGTAACTCACTAATAAATCCATCCCTGAGTAAAATGTGAAATTACGGCTCAATATATCGAAGTTATAACTCAATCAAGATCAAATTACAATACGTGACGATCGATCACAATATTTCAGCTATTGTGTGATGTACATAACCCATGCTCATGTAGGCTCTTGCGTCACCTCTATTGTAAGTAAGCTTAGACCCACCCTCTATAAATCCAAAAACCATTTTGATTGATTGTCAGCCTGATAATAATTCTCAACTCCAATGGCTTCACAACCCCACCACCTTCACTTTCTTATGATACCTCTAATGTGCCCAGGCCATATTATCCCCATGATGGACATGGCCAAATTGTTGGCACAACGTGGTGTGACCGTCACCATTGTCACCACCCCTGTCAACGCCACACGATTCAGTGCAGCCATTAGTCGTGCCATAGAATCTGGCCTCCCCGTCCGTCTTCTCCGGATCCGGTTTCCATCCGTGGAGGCTGGTTTGCCGGAGGGTTGCGAAAATTTCGACGAAGTCCCCTCCTTTGACTTAGTCAAGAACTTCACTGCTGCAACTGTCATGCTGCAGCAACCACTAGAACAGATGCTTGAAAAGCTCAAGCCTGGTCCTAGCTGCATAATCTCTGATAAGAGTCTGGCATGGACAGTTGACACTGCTCGAAAGTTTCGAATTCCGAGGCTTATTTTCGATGGCATGAGTTGCTTCACTCAGCTAATCACACACAAGTTATACATTTCAAAGGCTTATGAGAATGTTCCTGACTCAGAATCCTTTGTCGTGCCCGGTTTGCCTGATCAAATTGAACTGACTAAAGCTCAGCTTCCTGGAGCATTCAATCCTGGATCAAAAGCCATGGATATGCAAGATTTCCGCGAACGAATCAGAGAAGCTGAAATCGATGCATATGGTGTGATCATTAACAGTTTCGAGGAGTTAGAACAAAGATATGTGGATGAATTTCGAAAAATTCGAGGAGACAAAGTGTGGTGCATTGGACCATTATCACTATGCAACAAAAGGAGTTGGATAAGGCTCAGAGAGGAAACAAATCCTCAACTCACGAACTCCAATGCTTGAAGTGGCTCGATTCTCAGAAGCCAGCGTCTGTAGTCTATGCCTGTCTTGGAAGCCTCGCTCGGGTTATTCCTCCACAACTAATTGAACTTGCATTAGGCTTAGAAGCATCAAATCATCCATTTATATTGGTCATAAGAGCAGGGGATAAAACAGAAGAGGTAGAGAAATGGATAGTGGAAGAGGGCCTTGAGGATAGAATAAAAGGGAGAGGCCTTTTGATTCGAGATTGGGCTCCTCAAGTACTAATTTTGTCACACCCTGCGATTGGAGGGTTCTTAACACATTGTGGTTGGAATTCGACCCTAGAAGGAGTTTCTGCCGGAGTGCCAATGATAACGTGGCCTTTGTTTGCAGAACAGTTTTTCAATGAGAAGCTGGTAGTGCAAGTATTGGAGACGGGTGTGAGCGTTGGAGCTCAGGTTGTTGTTCACTTGGGTGAGGAAGAAAAGTTTGGGGTGAAGGTGAAAAAGGACCAAATTATAGCGGCTGTGGAGAGGGTAATGGATGAGGGGAAAGCTGGAGAGGAAAGAAGAAAAAGAGCAAGAAAGCTCGGGGAGATGGCAAAAAGGGCAGTGGAAGGAGGAGGATCTTCTTACCTGAACTTGACCCTGCTTATCCAAGATATCACAAAAAAGGTAACCCAGTAAACGATGTTCCGGCCATTGTACAAAAAGTAATCTGTAACGGAAACAAGAGAATGAATTCTAAAGCCGGATGTTAACATCTTATGACAATGTAGAGTGATTTTATGGTCCCAAAAGCAAAGATTTCTTCAAGAAAAAATAAGAATGATCAAATGACAGCATAAGACATAAATACACACAATTGAATCTTTTTGTGATAAACAGATCCATTTTTCAATTTCGTTATTAGGACGCCTCACCTGCACAGGTACCTAAGTGTAGTGTCAATCGCACATTCAACATAACGTTCGGGCTCATGTGCCTTAGGTTGAAAGAGGTTGAAAGGAAAGTCATAGGCAGCCAAAAATTTCAACATAAGAACATTAAAGGTGAATTGATGTCAACCAAGCTGATATGCACAACCACTTAAGTTTACCATTGTGGAACCCTTACGGTGCCATTGTTGACCACTTTTTGACTAAAGCAATTGTGTTACACATATTAGTCATGAAGACCCCTTGGATTGGTAAAAAGCCACCGTTTTTGTCCTTGTTTTTGTCTCTCTAACTCTTGCTCGGCTTATGTAATTAGGATTATTAAGTATTTATGTGCCACAAATAACTGATTAATGCTAAGGGAACAAGGTTCACATATTCAGAAAACAGAGTTAAAAACAGACTAACAGAGTTCTAGACTTCCAAACCCTTTTGCTATGCAGCAAACATGTGCAAGGAGAAGACAATACCTCATCAGCTCCATTTCTCTTAATTGAAAAACCAACAACCACTAATATCATTTAATTGTAAAAGTGTAGCAACCACATCACTCTCAATCTGTATAATTTACCAACATCATATATCACAGAATTATGTAAAAATCTGTCACAAATTGTTCATGAAGGTAGGTATCATACCCAGTGAAGCACTGGTTTATGTTTGCTAACACAAGGACAGGGCAAAGACATTGAAACACTTTGATCTTCCAAGTCAAAGATGTACAGGTTTCTATCTTCAGGCACGGTGCAGTAGATGCAATTTCCTTTAGTCTTAGCTTCGCCCGAATAACAAGACATGCTGTCAACCAGACCAAGAAAATTTGTGCGTTCACTTATACTTTCGGCCCGAATCCACATCTTGGCAGAAAAATCTGCCCGAAAAAATTTAAAATCTGAAACCTCTTTCTCATCTGGTTCCATAAAAATCTTTTGAACCAGCAAGATCTCACCACAACTCTCAATAAGATAATCCTTAAATAAAGTAGATACTGGTGCCAGTGCTCCCTCCCCTATTAATTGCCTGTACTGAGCAGTTGGACCTTTGAAATCAGCAATTACCAAAGCATACCCTGGCCATATTAAACCATAAACTTTTCCTTTGATGGTTGCCACAGCTAAAAGTTTTTTACCATAGAAGTTTAACTCCTGTTTTACATAATCATCATCACCAGGCTTCCAAAGCATAAGAACAGAGCTAAAGATACTAATGAACATGACGCGGGATTGAGGATCATTGGGGGGGGGGGGGGGGGGGGGGAAGTTAAAAAGCAATACCAAAATTCAAATTTGAAGCTGCACCTTCTCCATGGAGACTAGATCCAAAAGAGAAAAATCACCAGAATCACATTCCCGCAATACTAACCAGCCAGAATTAGAAGTGCATATGATTTTATTCTGCAAGTCTGGTATAATTCTTGGGTAATATCGATTTTCTGATATGTTGAATAATGTTTGTCTTTGATGATGCTTTCCGTGACTAATGAGAAGCCAGGGGTGTCTTTGAGGAACAAGAGGAGGACTAGAATGCACTTATTCTTTCCCATCATCTTCCATTGCCATGATCTTTCGACCTTTCTTGATCCAAATTAAAAGCAAGATTTTTTTAGTGTTCCTCCCTACATCAACACAAGAAGCCAACATATAAGATGAGCGAAGGGATAAGGTAAAAGTTTCATCGAACTCCAACAAAAATTAGTCGCACAATGGTGGTATAGGTTTGTACTGATGGTAGTTTTGGTATGATATTTTATACTTTATGATGAAAATTATGAGATGAATTGCACAATGGAGTTTGGTTTCTATACCTAGCATATACAAGTCAGATTAGTTAAAAACCTATTTGTATTTTAAAACTTGGACTGGATGGATTTGAAAACAACATATGCAACAAACCGCAAAATGGCATTTCAACTGAGACAGTTTGACAAATAACTATATAGGTCATGGATAGCAGCAAGTATGCAAATGTCGGAAATTCCTTAATCAAACAAGCAAATATACTTTCCTCAGTCCAATGTAAAATGAGAACAATAGGTTTTATAAATGTATGCTAGTCTTTACAAAAAACACATGAAGGATGTAAATCACAGAATATCCAAAATTCTTGCCAGCAAAATCTTATAAAGATCAGTGCCTAGATGCTTAGATGACAATGAAGCCTTGGAGTTTCAATCAAAATTTGTCTTTTAGGCTAAGAAGGTGGGTTTAATAGGTACACCAATATATATATATATATATATATATATATATATATACTGTACACATCTATGCACTACATATTTATATGGAATTTATGGATATCTCTTATGTCTGTCATGGAATAGCATGGGACTGACCCAAACCTTACTGCATATTTCATCAAAGTTGAATTTTTCATCCACGAAATAAAGTTTTTTGAGCGCTTAATCATGTTATGGAAGTTTCGGATATAACACTACAATGACTATTGAATAAAATTATCCACAAACATCACATATGAAATAAGTCAATTAGAATTCAATTTCGGCGATTAAAAACAAATGAAAAAGAAAAAAAATGCCACACCACAATGTAAAGGTTTGTACAACATCTTTGACATTGGCAAAGGATTAGTGGAGCTTCTGTTGAGTACATAGTGCCCCAGAAAACCATAAATTTTCATAAACTATCACATGAAAAATATTTTCAAGAGTTAATTTTCATGATAAAATTTAGTTGAACTATTTGATTGGATTCTACATCAACAGCACATCCAGACGACCACCACAAAACTTTTGACTCTCACTCTCGACTTTGTAATTATTTTTGGATAATATACCTATATTTTTCAACTAATAAAAACGCATCAAATAGTGTATATATATATATATATATATATATATATATATATATATATATATATATAGTGTATGTTGTCGAGTCCTAATGTGAATCGAAATAGGAAACGGACGAAAGGAATAAAACTCTGGTGGTGGTATCTCTCCTTCCTGCAAGGGTAATGCAGTGTGGACTAAAAGTGTACTTATAATCACAACCATTAATTTTACTATGGGTCCTAATATTTATTGGAACCAAGTATTTATTTAATAATTATAATTATCAAGCACATTTTTTAAGTCCACATTTGAAGTCTAAATTATAAGTTAGATCATTGATCATAGTCTTTCTGAAAAGTGGTTGAAGCCTTTCTCTCCTGAAGCACAGAGTATTAGACGCCCATTCATAGAGTCTTCAAGTAAACTCATTTTGTTGATTTGAAATAGTGACATGATTTATTGATTTAATCAATCGTAATTAATATATATGATCTACAATTAAATTAATAACAATAATTAATTAAATTAATAAATTATGTCAACATTTTAAGTTCAAATAGAATTTCTCTAAACAAAAACCGCCATTTAAGTAGCTCCAATGTTACATATCTCATGAAACATTTGATTAGAACAGTTTTTTGTTGGTAAAAAAAAAATAAAAAAAAATTCAATTGAAGAATTTGATTTTTTTTTGGATCGTCTTCGCTACTTAAATTTTGCATATCATAATATGAAAAATTATATAAAACAACCAAAAATTATTATTTTTCCACTCGTCACATTGGGATTGAAAAAAAAAAAGGTAATATAACAAATGCAATTTTTCAATTCCGTAGTCTATCCCTTCTGTCACACATCCGTTTATGTATTCACAATTCTTCACAGGCTAACCATTCCTGGACATAACTTAGAGCAATATTGGAGGAAAGGCAGGGACACAACTACACAAGGAGGCCACTACTACCTAGACAGCAACGAACCAGGTCTGAGTCTAATTTGTGGTGGAGTCGAAATTTTAGTGAAAATCAAGCAAGGATGGAATTGGAGAGATTATGATTTCTGACTAGAGCTCCCATTGAAGTCAAAATTACCACTCAGCTGAGAGGGCACTCGTACTTTCACCATTTGATCTCAGCATCACAAGCTCTCGTAAGCCTCAGCTTAATCCAGGTGCAGTGCTTCATATCTTTCATATCGTAAAAATCTTCCTTAGAGAAGTTACCAACAAAGGAGTGGAATTTCCTGGTACCGAGAGAATAGAACACTCCATTGCCCCCATAAAACTTTGGAAAGTAAATCTTGTTACCAGTTCCTCTCACCACAGCCTTTTCTGAGAAGGATGACCTGTAACTAACGTGCACCATTTTATCTCCCAAGCTTTGTACCTCATGCCAAGCCTCCTCCGAAAAATCCAGCTTAAAAACATGAACTTGTCTTCCATCACAACCAACAAACACTGTAAACAATTCTCCATCACTTTCGATCATAAAACTTTGTTGTGAGTTATTGAGTCTTCGTAGGGGCTTGTCACAAACGGTCCAACTACATTCGTTGTCCTTGGGGTCAAATATTCCTAGGTTTCCAGCAGTATCCAACCAGTAGTACAACCCATTGCACTTCACTGGACTGCACTTGGACAACACAAAATTTTGATAATTTTGAAACTCACGGACTGTCCAAGATTCATCACCACGTTTTAAAATGCCAATTTCTACTGATCGAAAACCAAGGCCACGAATACCAATGACTTGACAATGTGGTGAAGTTGGCACGGTAGAGAAACACATTGTTGGGAATAGAGAGTATACAGGTATGTCTGGCAGTCCTATTCTCTCTTTTGTGAATGGATTAAAGAAAAAAATAGTTCGACCACCTTGACACATGAGCAGCCAACCATGAGAACCGGATTTCTGCATCTACTAATTCAGGGATATCCACCTGATAACTAGCATTCTGGATCGGATTGAAAAAATTGAATAAATGGTTTCTTTTACTGAAAAACATCAACCACGGAGACTGGAAGAGTGGAGAATCGTGAATTGACATGAGTGGCTGAGGGATTGTAGGCATCGAGTGCCAAGATTTACAGAGAGTACGAAAGATAACATAGTCTCCTGCAAACAGATTTGACTGTAGTAAACCAAGAACCTCCGGAACTATATCTGATGGAACTTTTCTGAAATGCTTCATGATGAAGACACGTGTCCTCGGTATTACCAAAATACTGTTGCTAAGATCAAACACCATCGGTCCACAAAGGTCCTCGCCCCCGAGGTACTCGTCATATAGGATCATACATTCAGTATGTTTTACAACCGACACGTGGCCTCGGTCTGATATGGTACCTCGGTCGGCATACCTCCCTCTGTTCCGAGATGAGCCTTTCCTCGGTGCCGAGAGGTACCCCGTCCTAGACGCTTCCTCTACTCCAGGATAAGTTATTGACGTACAGGTCATTAGCCTAGGCTATTCATCATGACCTCGTCTTACACAATTAGTGTCAGAACGTACTGGAATGCAGGGGTCACAGCCAATAGGGGATGGACGCGTGGCGTATGATATCACATCGAAGACAGAGAAACCGCATGTCGTTGCTGACATGCGACTTGGGAAAACAAACTATTAATTACACCATTCCCTTGATGAGACCGCATTCAATGCGGTAAGGCTCGGAAATGAAAGACAATAAATGCTCCTAATACAGAGCATTTATTGCATCCTCCCCGAGAGGAGTACATTGTACCGTCGGCATCCCGATGACACAGCATTGATTGCTCGGGACCCCGAGCAGTTAAGAAGAGAAGACATTCCTCATCAGAATCAGTGCGCACACTGCCTGTACCTAATGATCACCTACTGACTACACTGACAGCAATCATGAGCTTTTGAGGTATAAATACTCCTTCAAAAGGCAAAACGGATATGCAACAAAAAACTCTTTACTACAATACACACTCAGTGTTTTCTCCTTTCTCTCTCTCTCTCAAAGACTGACTAGATCGTCGGAGGGGATATGCCGAAAAATACTCCGGCGCCCTTCTAACTTGTTCTTCTTTGTTCCAGGAACCTCTTTCAGCCTTACTGGATCGTTCTTCCGCTCCCCCAGGGTCTCCCGTTGCCGTTCCAGGTTACCACCGGACCTCGCAGGCTGCTCCAAGCAGCGTGGTTGGTCACTCAACCGGCTCACTCGAGTTCACCAAGGGAGAGATCTGTTCTCGTTTTTTATATTGTGCAGGATCTTGCACGCACAATCTGGCGCCGTCTGTGGGAAACGACTAGTTTTCCTAGTTTTTTTCTCTATAAAGAACAGTGACCATGGTGAACACTCGACAGAAAGGGAAAGGACCCCACCAAAGGAGTCTCGAGTTACAAGCTCCCTGTCATCACGGAGGAAGGGATCACACCAATACGAATAAAAGTGCCTCTACTCGGTCAAGAGGGGTTACCCCTCAAACCAGTATGGGAATCAGGTCAGGGGGATCAGCCCCCTTGGCTAGTCAGCTGGCGGAGGTGATTGAAGAAAAGTTTGGCGATAGATTACGTCAGCTGGAAAAGGACAATGTAAACGTCCTAAGCCGGCTCAACGAGTTTGCCGCCTCTGGCGAAGGATCGAGGGATTCATTCCTGTCTCGTGGGCTTCCCGCCCGGGAGGCGGAAACGAAGGATCTAAGAAACCACCTAAACAACAAAGCAGAAAGCTCTAGGGCCCCAAAGCGACCCAGAGCCGGCGAGCATCATCATGACAACCATTCAAGGAAAGCAAGGCCATTGGCCCTGGACGACCTCCAGCGAGGTTTGTCTAGACGGAGGAAGGGAGATGAATCCGAGGAGGACTCAACCCAATCCACACAACGCCCAAGAAATGAGGGGCTTACCGATGAACTCAAGGACTTCAGAAGGCATCCCGTCAGGGAAGAAATTGATCTCAGAGCCCGGTTAGACTCCAGGAGAAAGGGTAAGGCTGTCCAGGATGAGGCCGAGGACGAAGTCATACAAACACCCTTTACGAAGGAGATCAGTGAGATGGAGGTTTCAAGAAAGTTTGTCGTGCCGCGGTTCAAAACTTATGACGGGCGGTCCGATCCAGAAGCCCATGTCAGGCAATACAAGCAGATGATGTCCCTCTATCATTCGGACCAACGGTTTCTCTGCCGAGTGTTTCCTATGAGCTTGGGGGACTCTGCGATGAAGTGGTTCGAGGCGCTTCCCCCCAACAGTATTGGGTCCTGGAAGGAATTGACTAAGCAGTTCCTGGCTCGATTCATTACGGGGAGTAAGCGCCCCAAAGACGTTGGATCATTGCTGACCCTCAGACGGAGGGAATCCGAGACTCTTCGCCAGTACGCCATCCGATACTAGGAAGAGGTTAATGAGGTAGAAGGCTGCTCGGAGGTCATGGCAGCAGCATCTTTTCGGCTCGGCTTGGCAAGGGACACGGACCTGTACCGATCCCTGACCAAGAAGACTCCCTCGGACATGGGGGAACTAATGGCCCGGATAAACAAATACTCGAGGGTTGAGGACGAGATGGGAAGCAGCAAAGGCCGAGCCCTCCAATCTAAAAGAAAAGAGAAGGAGCAGGAAGATATTCCCCGAAAGGGATTGCTACCCCTTCCAGGGGGTTCGTCCAGAGGAGTTCACACTGTGTTCAAGGAACCCATCTTGAAGTTGCTCCATAAAATCAAGCACGATCCGTTCTTCAAATGGCCGCCCAGGATGCAGAGCGACCCCTCCACCCATGATCAAAAGGTTAGGTGTTCCTATCACCGGGATTTTGGGCATCACACTGAAAGCTGCAGGGTGTTCAAATCGTTCTTGGAAAGATTGGTCCGAGACGGATATTTGAAAGAGTACATAGAGCCCAGGCCAGAAGAGAGACAAGCCCTTGCCCCGACCGAGGAGCCGGACAACATCATAGATGTCATCCATATATGTCCCCTGGATCGCCCCACGTCCAAGGAACTCGAGTCCGACCTCAAGAGGGTAGCTTTTACGAGGAAGGTAGCCGAGGTTGATGTAGGGCCACCAAGTAAAAGGGCCAGGACGGGTGAGCTTGGCATTACATTCTCCGACGCGGATTTGACAGGCGTAGTGACTCCCCATAACGACGCCCTTGTCTTGACCCTGAGGATAGGAAAATTCGATGTCAAAAGGATTTTGATAGACTCTGGAAGCTCCTCGGAGGTGATGTACTTCGAAACTTTGAAACGGATGGGTCTTGGCCCCAAAGACCTCACCAAAGTCAGGACACCCCTCATCGGGTTCAACGGCTCGTTCGCCCTGCCCGTGGGGAAAATCACATTGCCAGTTGTCACAGGTCCCTTTGTCATCGACACCGAGTTTGTCGTGATCGATACGGACTCTCCCTACAACGTGATTATGGGGCGAACATGGCTGCATGCGTTGGGAGCGGTGCACTCCACTTTCCACCAGAAATTAAAATTCGCCACGCCAGAAGGTATCATGGAGATCCGGGGGGACCAAGCGTCCGCGAAAAATTGTTTTTATTCAGCCGTTCGAGCCGGGGCGTTCAGCCAGGAGAAGGGGCGAGCACCGGAAGAGATTATGGAAAAATAGCAATTACAGTCCGGGCGTCCAGGAATGGATGACCCCCGGATAGACCCAACTGAGCGGTCGGTAGAAGACCTCCGGAAGGTGCCCTTGATAGAGGGAGAAGAAGAGAGGTATTTCTTAGTTGGAACCTCGATGCCCACAGCCGAACAAGAGGAGATGATCGAGTTCCTAAGGGAAATACAGACGTGTTCGCGTGGAACGAGATGGAAATGACGGGGGTAGACCCCGAGATAATCACACACAGGCTGCATGTTGACCCGTCGCACAAGCCAGTCAAACAGAGGCCACGACGCATGGCCCCGCATCACACCAGCGCGGTCAACGAGGAAATCGACAAACTCCTGAAGGCCGACGCCATTCGAGAGATACAATTCCCAGAATGGCTGTCTAATACGGTGTGCGCAAAGAAGAAAGGGGGAAAATGGCGTGTCTGCGTAGACTTTACAGATCTGAACAAGGCATGTCCCAAGGATGACTACCCCCTGCCAAAGGTGGACCAGCTGGTAGATGCCACAGCCGGATATGAACGAATGGACTTCCTGGATGCCCGAGCAGGATATCATCAGATCCCTCTCTATCCCCCGGATCAGGAAAAGACGGCGTTTATCACTCCGAAGGGAGTTTACTGTTACAAAGTGATGCCGTTTGGACTAAAGAACGCCGGGGCAACATACCAAAGACTGATGAATCGGATGTTCAAAAAGCAGATCGGCAACACCATGGAGGTCTACATAGACGATATGCTGGTAAAGAGCAAACGGAGTTGTGATCATCTGACAGATTTGGCGGATACCTTCTCCACCCTCAGGGAGTATGGGCTGAAGCTGAATGCGGCAAAGTGCGTTTTCGGAGTGGAATCAGGTAAATTCCTCGGATACCTGGTTAGTCAACGAGGAATCGAAGCCAACCCAGATCAGATTCAAGCGATCCTGGACATCCGGAGCCCCCGCACTGTCCGAGAAGTCCAGAAACTCACAGGGATGCTGGCTGCACTTAACCGTTTCGTCTCACGCTCCTCGGACAAATGCAAACCCTTTTTCGGAGCAATCAAGAGTGCTGGGAAGAATATGTGGAGCCAGGGGTGCGAGGACGCCCTGGCTGGAATCAAAGAATACCTAAGGACTCTTCCAACCTTGTCCGTCCCCATCCAGGGGGAGATGTTGTTCTTGTACCTGGCAGTATCTGAGTTTGCGGTAAGCGGGGTACTTATCCGTGAGCATGAGCACCGCCAGAAGCCGATTTACTATATAAGCAAGGCGCTCCTGGACGCAGAGACAAGATATCTACCCCTAGAGAAACTGGCTCTATCCCTGGTCACCACTGCAAGGAAACTGCGGCATTATTTCCAGGCGCACCCAATCACTGTCCTTACCGATCAG